AACTAAAGTAATCGCAGTCCTTACAGCTCACCGGATCACTCAATCGGTACGAGTGACGGACGCTGTGTAAAAAGGACAGGGACGTAATCAGCGCAAGTTGTTGACTTGCATTTACTAGGAATTCTTCGAAGACGAATAATTGCAATCGTCTATCCCTAGCACGACACGATTTCAAAACATTACCCTGACGGTTAGGGCCTAACCCTACCGGACAAGGAAATGCTTGTTGATCGCTCTATGATGAAGGATGATGTCCTGATGGATATTGTTATCAAGGTATGTTCTTTATTATTAATAACGGAGAAATGCGGGCGAAACACATATGGGCAAAAGTGCCTCTGTGTGAAATATTCCGGGGAAAAATACAATGCAGCAAGAAAGTAGCGAAAAAGTGCGACTTGCTGGAAAGAACTTCCAAATTTGCGACTTCCAAACAGAGAGTAGCAAGTGCGCAGGAGCTAATAAGTGGAACTGTCGGAAATTATTGAATTTGGCAGATCCGCAATATTAGCAACAAAGTGGGATTGCTGGATTGTATCACATTGTGGACCACATATGAGTCAGGTTTCGTTCAGGGGATTCTCCAGGGAAAGATGAAACGAACTAGCCTTCTATCATTGTCAATGATTCATTGAATATTAGAACTCAGAACTGTTCAATTCGCGATAAATTCACTAAACAGAAACTACGATTTCATGGGAACACACGTTCCCACGCGAGAAAAACTAGATCGCATCATTTAATGAGCAGTCCTAGCCTGAGTGGTGGCAATGAAGTTGCTGACCACACGAATGGAGTACTCGTTGTACTTGGCGAGTTGCCTCTTAGTAGAGGTAATCTGATCACCTTCCAACCTGTTAACCAAGGTCACACATACGCAAGCAGCGGGGATCTTGGCTCGCTGGCAGAAACCCATAAGAGCGACACTCTCCATCTCGATGTTGCGGACACCAGCATCATGGAGACGATGAAGGAAGTTAATCTTATCCTCCTCGGTATACCAGGGAGTGAGAGCACCATCAGTACGGCCCTGACCCTCGAAGAAATCATCAGCAGCCATGGTCTTA